AAACTACTACGAGGCTCGATCAAAAGGAGTTGATTCAAAATGGTTATATCAAAGCCAAGCATTTTGAAGAATATGTTAATCAGGGGCATAATACAAAATAGTGGGGTCATCCACATTATGATCAAACTGTTTCCAAGCTCATATTAAATAGAATCTCCTCCAAGACCCTACCCATAAATTAAAAAATAAATAGTCCACACAAAGGCAAACTCTCTGCACACTTTCACAACCTCCAGTGGGTCTTTCTTCTACATCAGCAGTCTTCAAATTCAAATCGAGTATCAGGGAATCATGAAATCACAACACTATACCATCACGTGACAAGCAAAATTTTTGCATAACCAAACCTCTATGCTCTAATCATCCACGACCCATCATGGGGGCACCATTCAAAAATAGAATTCAAGTTATAATCATAAAGCATAAGGCTGCATAAATCATGCATTAGGGTTCCTCGATCCAAAACCAAGCCTATACTATCATCTCATCCATCTACACATTCCACCAGCATGGGTTGAGCATATCTCAAAAAGCCCAACTTTGCATTCCCATTTCAAAGCCCAACTACGCACTCGCATTTCAAAATCCAACATCCACTTACACATATCCAATTCGTTCATCATATACATCAATCAATCATCACATCACATACATCAATCAATCATTACACTTCATGCATCAATCAAATTTGCATGCATAACATAAAACCTCGTGTTTATGTGAAGAAAATCATCATTATTAATCAAGCTACAAACTCTAAATTGAATCTCGGTAGTAGATTCTCCTGGTTAATCACAGAAGTTGATTATCCGAAAGACCTCGGCAGAAGGTAACTCAAAATTGAATCTCAACAGTAGATTCTCCTGGTTTATCACGGTAGTTGATTATCCGGAAGACCTCGGTAGAAGGTAACTCAAAATTGAATCTCAGCAGCAGATTCTCCTGGTTTATCATGGCAGTTGATTATTTGGAAGACCTCGGCAGAAGGTATTCTCAATTGAATCTTGGCAGTAGATTCTCCTGGTTAATCACGACAATTGATTATCTGGAAGACCTCGACAGAAGGTATTCTCAATTGAATCTCGGCAGTAGATTCTCCTGGTTAATCACGGTAGTTGATTATCCGAAAGATCTCAGTAGAAGGTAACTCAAAATTAAATCTCGGCAGCAGATTCTCCTGGTTTATCACGACATTTAATTATCCGGAAGACCTCGGCAGAAGGTAACTCAAAATTGAATCTCGACAGCAGATTCTCATGGTTAATCACGACACTTGATTATCTGGAAAACCTCAGCAGAAGGTATTCCCAATTGAATCTCGACAGTAGATTCTCCTGGTTGATCACGAAAATTGATTATCTGAAAGACCTCAGAAGAAGGTAACTCAAATTGAATCTCGGCAGTAGATTCCTTGGAAGTCTCGACAGTAGATTTCCCGTTAAGAGCCTCACATTATGCATATACATCATGCATGGCATCTCTCGAAACCCACTACGAACAAAGCCGGTATCTTAGGGCCCTCCAATCAATTCTTACCTCGGTTAGATACAGATAACCAGCAAAATCCGTTCTCATCTCAGTTATAGTTAACTAAGATATGGATCACTCAAAACAACTTCCTTTATATTCAAACATATTGTTTCAGTCTCCATGCGACAATGTGTGAATTATTCTACATATTATGTCAGTCTCCATGCAACAATGGGTTTCTTTCTTAGCTCGCTGTGTCAGACCCCAGGCAACAATGTTACAACATCGACAATTCCACCTGTTGTGTCAGTCTATGTGCAACAATGTGTGAATTTTCTACATATAACTTATTGTGTTAGTCTCCATGCAGCGATATGTTTTTCCTTTGCAATCTAGCTCATTGTGTCAGACTCCAGGCAGCAATGTTGCAAAATCAGTAATTCCACTCATTGTGTCAGTCTCTATGCAAAATGTGTGAAATTTTCTATATTTAACTTATTGTGTCAGTCTCCATGCAACAATATGTTCTTTCTTCGCGATCTAGCTCATTGTGTCAGACTCCAGGCAGTAATGTTGCGAAATCAGCAATTCCACCCATTGTGTCAGTCTCTATGCGATAATGTGTGAAATTTTCTATATTTAACTTATTGTGTCAGTCTCCACGCAATAATATGTTCTTTCTTCGCGATCTAGCCCATTGTGTCAGACCCCGGGCAACAATGTTGCAAAGTTAGCAATCTCACCCGTTGTGTCAGTCTCTACGCGACAATTGTGAAATTTTCTGTATTTTACTTATGGTGGCAGCCTCTATGCAACAATGTGTTTCTTTCTTAGCTCGTTGTGTCAGACCCCAGGAAGCAATGTTGCAAAATTGGAAACTCCATTCATCGTGTCAGTCTCTACGCGACAATGTGGGAATTCTTCTATAGTTAGCTTATTTTGCCAGTCTCCATGCAACAATATGTATTTTCTTTGCAATTTAATCCATTGTGTTAGACTCTAGGCATCAATGTTGCAAAATCAACAATTCAACTCATTGCACCAGTCTCCATGCAACAATGTCTTTATCAAAACATGTCCCATTGCATCAGTCTCTATGCAGCAATGTTGTTTATCGGAACTTTTTCTACGTAACAATGTATTATCGGACTCTGTTTTATCCATCCCCTAGGTTGCGATGAATAAAGCAAGACCAAATCAAACCAGAACTCACTATATCAGTCTCCAAGCATTAGTAAGTCAACTTTTTACCTCCTAGATAACGGTAAGTACGCAAAATTTTACAATCTCCTTTAGATACTAACGAGTGACCCGCATTATCACGTCTAAACCTAATCAACTCTAGTTCAAAATGCTGGTTAGTTGATACATCATCATCTACACCTATTCGTTGTATCCATGAGAGCACTGTACAATGTATCCTTATAATTTTTCAGACAAATTTTGGGGTCTTCTAATATTTAATAAACTTCCAACTGAACACGCGAGACCTGCGCATTCTCACATTGTCTAGTCGAAAGATGATTAAATAGGGGCAGCTGTCATACTCCAAATTTGTCCCACAAATTCAAACAATCTTTAGCCAACTAAATTAGGTTTGGGACCAAGAAATTTAGGGTTCCATGTGGTTTGGAGGCTCCTGTTATCAGACAAGCCTAGTTCATCTGCCTATTTATGGGCATTGGTTTGTGTTACTAGGATTCTTTGTCATGATCACTTTAGAGTTCTTATTTTCAGTAGGTTACAAGGTTTTCATCTGTTAACAAGGTCATTGTTATTAAGGTTTTTAATATTTGATTTTCAATTTAAAATTGTGAATTAAGACATGATGCAAGAGGTGACGGGTTCATCATGGTCTTATTATGTTTGTGTTTCCTTCATTGACTAATAGGTTGATTACTTAAAAAACAAGTTAATATGGACTCAGGGTTGAATTCCCTTCAAAAGGAAATGGAGACTAAATTTGGGGTTTGTATCTTTTCTAAGGTTCATGAGATGATCAAATATTATTCCATCAAAGACATGAGATTTTTTCTCAAAGTAACATTTTTCCAAGTATGAACATAAACTTCTAGCAGTCTCGCCATTTATTAAATTAATTCAAACCTATCGAAGTCCAGCATAAAGGCTATCCATATATGATTATCCAAAAGGCAGAAGGAGGAGTTTTCTAATGTAAAGGATAATTTTTGAATATTTTTACTCTTGAATTAATACAAGGTGTAACTACTTTCTTGTTCACTTACAGTAAATATAAGAAGAGGGAATGTTTCAAATTCAAAACTAATATTGAATTACAATGCCATATATACAGGGTTTACAAGATGAGAGCTTTACATAAAACTACTTATCCTAAAACCTAATTAGTAGGATATCTCTTTTTCCTAATAGTGGTAAGACAACTTCAACCTCCCCAGGGCCAAACTTCCAATCTTTGATCTATCTTTATGCTTTTACTCCTTTAAAATTTAAAGCCTTCCCCATGACAGACTTCTGGTCATGTCATCGCACCTACCAGAAAGGCCCTGCATCAATATCAGGCAAAATTGAATCAGGTCAAATAGATAGTTAACTGGGATAATTCACGGAGCAACTTATTCAGTTAATACCTCGTGCTTGCCAAGGCTTATGCATCCAATATGCCATATACATATGCAAACATGTCACAAAATTACTCAACTAAAATCATAGTTCTAATTACAAAGAATTATAAAAGAACAGTCAAAATAAAACTTAACTCAACCTCATCCTTTTTATCCTTGATCCTAGAATTCTTGAAAGTCTGAAAACACACTCGTTCTTGACCTGCATCAGTACAAGGGAAAGAATTATTTTCAGCCCACAAACCCAACAAGTTATGAACAATTAGGAAGTGTTAGGTTTCATACCATGATTCAGGATAAAACTCTCCAAGCTTTTCCTTGTACTGATAAATTGAATTAACACCCTGTATTAAGAAAACAAAATGCAGTGCACGATTAATTTCATCAAAATGGATATCCCTTGCATATCAAAATTAGAAGAAAGGAATTAAACCAGGACAATTAAGTGTTGACCAAAAACAGAAACTTAACAATTATGCTATAACAAGAACAATATTCAAAAATTAAGGGACATTAACGTATGAATAAATGCTCAGCAAACAAAATTGGCAAGTGCAGAAACATAATCAGGGCATTTATGGAAACATTTTGAAAAAAACTTTGAAATCAGTAAAAATAGAAATTCTATTAATCATAATTAAAGGCGAATCAACAAAAGGGGGAAACAAATTTCAAATTTGTAATAAGTAATTGCAGACACACTAATTTTTCCCCTAAAAAAATGTAATCCCTAATCACTATAAAAACTTAGAATCAGAACAGAGGAGGGACGGACGGAAAGCAACAGAAAAATTACCATAGAGAAGGAAGAATTTGTCGCCTTATCGATCACACTCTCATTTTGGGGTTTGAGTTTTGAGATCCGAAACCCTATACCTGGTGGATCCACCGCCGCCTAATTCTACCACCACCACTGCCACACCTCTATTATCTACCGCTACGGTCACCTATAAGCAAGAAGAAGAACACGAGATTAGAAAACAAATCGGAAAAGTCCGAAGATCGGAAGAAGGACAATCTCGAAAAGGGTAAATCATTAGCTTTATTTTTATTTTGTGACTGTTGTTTGGGGTTCAGATTTGTGGTAGTTATGGGGTTTATCTGTTTGAGCCGCCACCGGTGGTGGGAATGGGGGGGTCGAGGGTTTTGTGTGTGAAAATGGCGAGGAAGAGAGAAAAGGAAGAGATTGTTGTAATTGAAAACTGAAGTGAATTAAAACAAACAATGTAATTCGTTTCAATCATATATACACGCACCCATTGTAATAAGCATGGTCTCTCAATCTTGTCCCTTCATTCTTGATCAGACGATCTTAGGGCCAAGTCACATAATAGACCTATACTCCCGCGCCACACACGATCCAGCCAGCCCCTCTCCTAAATGTTCTGGGCCTAAGCCCACTCTTATTCGCACCCCCTCTTTCCTATTTTACTAAATTATCAAGCATCCTGCACCCCCCTGTCCAGCTTGCACAATGGGCCTGGCTAGAATCCTTTCAGCACCCCACTCATTTCACTTGTCAACTAATAATGCACCCCCTGATATTTATTTATATTTTACATCCTTTATAATTATTATATTTTAATTATATTTTCTTATTATTATATTATACTTTTTATAATAAGTATAATAATTATTATTATTAATTTTTTATATATTATTATTTATTATATGTAAATGTTATTATTATTTATATATTGACATGTAAATTATTTTATTCAAGAATGCATATTATATTTTTATATTTGCATTAGAATATTTTTTTAATCATGCATTAATCAAGATTTTTTGCAGTAAATACGATTAAAAAATATGCAACAAATCATCAAACTATTTTTCGCAACAAATTAATCTAACACAACTATTTTGCAAAAGGGTTTCAAACGAATTTTAACTAACGTAGGCATGCGATCAAAAATTGTGGCGAGTCCCCCTATTTAAAATTAAAACCATGTTCCCACTAACTAAAATTCAAACCCTTTTCCCAAATAAAACAAGAAAAACCCTATTTCCTAAACATCGCGCTTCTAAACCTAGTATCCTTGTGAACAAGGTAGATAAGGGGTGCCTAACACCTTCCTCTCGTCTAGAACCGAGTCAAACTTAGAATCTCTGAATTTCTTTTAGGTTTATTCCTTTATATTCCTTTCCTTTAGGATAAAAATTAAGGGTGGCGACTCTGATTAAAAAACCAATTGCAACACTCAGGCTAAAAAAAAAGTCTATGATAGGCCACAGGCCAGACTCAGGCTTTGAATTTTTTAGCAGACCAGACTCAGGCTTGGCAAATCCTAGTTCGGCCCAGCCTATTCCCACCCCTAATGCTATTGTTCATAAATATATTTTTTATTTAAAAAAATACCATTCACCAGTATTTTGGTGTAAGTATTGGTGTACAAATATAGTGTAGAAATAACATTCCTGATAAATCATGAAAAAGAATGCATCAGAGTCCACAATGGGATGTCACATAATCCAAAAATCCATAAGGTTTCAAAACACTTTATTTCATCGTTTATCCAAAATATTTATTCGGCAGCGGAAAATCAACTTAAATCGGTTAAGTGGAATTCTAACCTCAACAATAAATCAAACTCCACAATATGTGGTCCATCATAAGTTTAAAATAAATGTGAAACAATTGAAATTATGCAAAAACATAGTAAAATCCCCAAATCACGTTTTACATATCAGAGCGACTCCTAAGACTCGATCTGGTAACATCTCTTCAAGCACTACTCAGGTACCTGATTATCTGTACTCCCGAGGAGCACAGACACAACAACACAAAAGGGGTGAAAATTCCATTCAATAATCACACGGTGAATAAAACATGCTAAGGAGTAGTAAATCACATCATACAAACAATAAATCATAAACAACCATCATTCGCATCATACGACATCAATTCAATCATCAATGCAATGCAATGCAATGAGACCTACATCAACATGCATGTGGTACCATCAAGGCGTGAGCCCCCAACATATTTCCAATTGGGAAACAATAGAGCATAATCCCTTATCACAGTGCCAATTGGGAAACAACAGAGCATAAGCCATCGTCACAACGCCATTCCAGGCCAACATCAGAGGAATAAGCCCTCACCAATGAATGCATGCATCCATATCATACAAAAACATAAATTATTCAACAACAAGGCATAAGTCTTCATCACGGTTCCAATTTAGGCCATCCACATAATTATCATCATAGTCATCAACATTGCCTCATAACAACATCGTAAGCAAAACAACATCGCAATAAACAACTCACTATTTCGGTGTAACGAGGGGAAACTATTCCTATCCTAACTTAGGTACTAAAAATATACTCTTTATCATTCATTTTTATCCTTCAAATTATAGTTCATGTGTTAGATAACTATTTTTTCGAACGACACATCAATCGGGCTCCTAAAACTAAAGTTATGGTCGATTCAAGAAAATCCAAAAAAACAGCCATCAACTACTATCAATCGTTGCCTGACGAAGCCCTGTGTCGCCCGACTATGCTGCCTACGCGTCACCTTTCACCCAGCGAAGCTAGGCGCGACGCACTCCAGTAACTCATCCAAAAATTTACCTCCTTCTCGCCTTCACCTTCGACTGGCGCAACACCGACGCCCGACGACACTCCTTGTATCGCCCGACGATTCTTTGCGAATAGATTTTTCCTATTTGCGATTCTGCACTATACCAGACCAATTTTCCTACAATTTTGTCATATTATAGGTCCTAATATGTTGTCTAAACACCAGGTTTTATCACCTACCAATCCATCACAATGCACCACTATCCATACATCAGTTATGGATCATATTCCATCATCAAATCCCTTAATCATAATTTTCATTACTAATAGGTTTTAGATTGCGGTTTTTTGGTACCATCATCATAGCAACAAAAATCACCAACAACAAATCACAATCATAACATCACAATTTCATATAATATCACATACAACAACATCAATCAAATCAAACAAAAAAAGACCATACATCAATCATTCAAAAACAACCCAAGAGGGAAATGAACCCTCACTACCCTCTCATGTAAAATCACCAATTATAGAATCCATTCACCCCCTTACCTTAATTTGCATCTTTGATACTTCAACAATGGGGAATTTTTCTTTGCCCTAGTTATCTCTTCTCTTCTCTTCTCTGTTTCTACGTGACAATAGTTTTTCTCCCAATTAGTCTAACCATATTCTATTGTATTTTATTATTACTAACACTTAACTAATAATAATAATATTAATATTAATAATAATATTAATAACAATATTAATAATCTTAATAATAACTATAATATTAATAATAATATTATTATCCCTCACTTCCATTATCATCAATATTTCCCTCAAAACTAAGTTTCACCATAAAATGCCAAAGCAATTCAAATTCAACAAACAATTACTAAGTATTTAAATGGGGTGTTACAACTCTCCCCCACTTAGAATATTTTCGTCCTCGAAAATCACCTTATATAAACAATTATGGATAACACGCTCGCATCCTGCTCTCTAACTCCCACGTCATAATTTCCCCAGCTGCTCCTCCCCAAACTACTTTCATTAGAGGTATTTCCTTGCCTCTCAGCTTCTTCATTTCACGGTCTTCGATCCTCACTGGTAAGATATCTATCGTAAGATTATCCCTCACTTGTATGTCATCTACCGGAATTACATGAGATGGATCCGTAATATACTTTTGAAGTTGCGACACATGGAACACATCATGCAAATTCGAAAGATTAGGTGGTAAGGCCACCCTATACACAATAGTTCCCACTTTATCTGAAATTTGATACGGGCCAATAAGCCAAGGAGTAAGCTTCGTCAATTTCAACGCTCGTCCAACACCGGTCACTGGGTTGACTCTCAAAAAGACATGATCTCCTTCTTGAAATTCAAGGTCCTTCCTTCGCTTGTCATGGTAACTCTTTTGTCTACTCTGTGAAGCTTTCATCTTTTCTCGAATTAACTTCACTTTTCTATAGTCTCTCGTACAATTTCGGGTCCAAGCATTACACTTTCACCAGATTCGTACCACACAAAGGCGTTCTGCACCTCCGACCATATAATGCCTCAAAAGGTGACATACCAATACTGGAATGAAAACTATTGTTATAAGTGAACTCAATCAGTGGAAGGTAACTATCCCATGTACCTCATTTCTCAAGAACGCAAGCTCTCAACAAATACTCTAATGATTGAATAGTCTTCTCTGTCTGACCATCTGTTTGCGGGTGATACGCAGAACTCAATCTCAGTTTAGAACCCAACGGATCCTGCAGACTATTCCAAAAATCAGAATTAAATCTTGGGTCTCTATCGGATACAACGCTTTAGGGAATACCGTGTAGCTTCACAATCACATGAATATAAATATCTGCTAACCTTGGCACCAGAAAACTGATACCGATTGGAATAAATGAGCTGACTTTGTTAGCATATCCACAATCACCCAAATTGAATCATGTCCTATTAGAGTGCTCGTAAATCCTGTCACAAAGTCCATGGATATACAATCCCATTTCCATTCTGGAATATCTAACGGTTCCAACAACCCTGGAGGTTTCTGATGTTCGACTTTCGACTTTTGGCAAGTCAAACATGCATACACGAACCGTACCATATCACATTTCAATCCTGGCCAACAAAATAACTTCTTTAAGTCTTGATACATCTTATTTGCACCTGAATAGATACTCAATCTACTTCTATGAATTTCTTCTAGGATCATCCTTTTCATCTCGGAGTCATCAGGAATACAAATTCTATATCGGAACCTCAGCACACCTTGTGTGTCTACCTTGAAATCACTATCTTCATACTGATTACTTTAAACCATCAAATCTACCAATTTGACATCCAACTTGTGAGCTTCTTTAATATCATTCATGAAGTCATTGTTGATCTTCAACATTCACAACATCACACTCTGCGGTGTCACTTCACATACTAAGCTCATGTCTCTAAATTGTTCGATCAACTCTAATTCTCTAACCATCATGGTAGACATATGTAATAACTTCTGACTTAAAGCATCAGCCACAACATTAACTTTACAAGGGTGATAGTTTAAACTAAAGTCGTAATCTTTCAACATTTCTAACCACCTGCGCTGTCTCATATTCAATTCCTTTTGATCAAACAAATATCTTAAGATTTTATGATCACTAAACA